CATGAGAACTTGAGGCTCCTTATGGAACCTCTAGGGTGGTGCTGGATTGAGCACACCCCATTTATCTTTCCCAGATTTACCACTCAAATGAGTCATCCTTTCCTGAGGTAAAGTAATTAAAGGGTGCAGAGACCAGCAATATTTGGTAGAAATTCCTCTTAGAAACCAGAAGAGAGGGAAAGGTGTTTTCCACCAATAATGAGTACTATATATTCATTGTAGAAAAAAATGCAAATAAAGAAGAAAATGCATAGCTGCTTAAGGTTGCATCCTAAAGATAAGCACTGTTAACATTTTGATATCTATCTTTGAAGACTATATTATCATATAGATAAGTTTTAAGCAACAATGCAATAATATATGCATATAGTATGATAATTTCTTAAACACTTCAAAGACGATAAATATAACTCAAATGAGTTATGCACCTCTGCATGGTAAAAATGAGTGTATTAGAATGTCTTCTGGAGCTGCCCAGCTTAGTGTATCCTCTCTGGAAGTTTTCCCAGTTCTCAAGGCTGGACTCCTAATAACTATGTTTCTACTCCCTGACTCTGCCACTTATGGCAATAGCTGGACTCCTAATAACTATGTTTCTACTCCCTGACTCTGCCACTTATGGCAATAGCTGGCTGATCCAGGAGTCCATACCTGACCCAAACTGGGCTGGTCAGGTTTTTTTCTTCCAAGAATTTGGAACTTTGAATTGAAAGGCAGAGATGGGGAATCACTGTAGTCGAATCACATTAAATCCATGTGAGGATTTAACTGAGGTCTTTTGAACACTACTTGGGCTTCCGTTTCCCTTGAGACTTGTTAAACTCTTTTTTTGGACATTGCTGTTATTGTTTTACCTTGGATTAAAAATGAAATTGAATAGCTTTGTTGGTAACTTACAAAAATAATTGCCTTCAGATTTTAGAAACTTTTTCAAAAGAGATATTTCCTAGTAACCTATTGTGCAAAATGGCATTTGACATCGAGGTTAACATCTTAAAACTAAAATCAGTTTATTGCCAGTTGAAATAGAAAGGGCTCAAGAGAAGAGAGAAGTTTACAACACATATTTTCAAGGGAGTTTTGATTATGGCAAATCCTCTAAATTTTTTCTGATCAGATATGCTTATTCTAGTGCAGTGGATCTCAGTAAAGCAGTGCCACCTCCTTACACTGCATTTTGGAAAATTATGAGGGTATTCTGATTGCCACAGTGACCAGGTATGCTAGATGTCCTACAATGTGCGAGACAGTCCAAATCAATGAAGATTTGTTCTGCATCTTCCTTGACTTCTGTATGTTCCCTCAAGCTAACCCCTCTACAAATACACATTGATCATTTTGTAATACATGTTAAAACTGAAAAACCTTCATGAGAAATTAAACAAATAGCTTGTTAAATTCGAAGAAGGTTGTGGCCTTAGTTTTCCATTGCTGCATAACAAGTTATCGCACACTTAACAGCTTACAGCAACACTTGACTAGCTCACAGTAAGTCAGAAGCTGGGCTTGACTGGATTCTCTGCTCAGGGTCTCACAAGATTGAAATCAAGGTGTCAGCCAGACTGGCTGGTTTCTTATCTGGAGGTTCCAGGGAAATAATCCACTTTCAAACTAATCGGTTTATTGGCAGAATTCATTTTCTTGTAGCTTAACGTCTGAGGTCCACATTTTCTTGCTAGCTGTCAGCAGGAGGGCACTCCCAGCTTCTAGGGGCTACTCTGGATCTAGGTCTTGTACTGACCCCTCCAGCTTAAGAGTCAGCAACAGCATGCCAGAGGCTTCTCATTTTTTAATATCTCTGACTTCCTCTTCTGCCAACAGCCAGAGAAAACCTTGCTTTTAAAGGGCTCTCCTGGTTGCATCAGGTCCACCTACATAATATCTATACCTTAAAATCAATTGATTTGACAGCAGTACCTAGATTAGTGTTTGACTGACTGAAGAGATAAGGAACAGTCATCTTGGGGTATTGGCTTTAGCATTCTGTCGTACTATTATCATTGGTATGAAAAGGGAAGCTTAAGTGAAATAAAGATATTGTCTTAAAATAATTAAGTCATCTATTCACTCTGCACATTCTGTTCTCTAAGTATTACAGAATTTCCAGCTTGCATATTTAGTTGAAAGAGATTTCAGTGCAGTGGTGTTATTACTGCAAAAGCAACAAAACTGATTGAAAATTGGTTTTGAGATTCCTGTTCAGGCTTCAGTTATTAAATTGAGACACATGGAATGCAGGAATTGCACTGCATTTCTTTAATGTAGACTACTTTAACATTTTATAATATTGCCCATGTGTATATGTAATGATAAGAAATCTAGGTTGTGAGACGGAAATTTTATTTTGAGATAACTGTCATTTTCTATTTTATCTTAAAAGTATCCCTAATCTATTACGCAACTGCTTTGTTGCCTCTTGCAGTACTGTTTTTTGTTTTTTTTTCTAATCCATCTTCCCTTCTTTATTGTATCATTTAAAGAGTATAGTTTCCGAGGACTTTTTACAGACTGGACACTGATTATATGTCTCAACGATTTCAAGGCAGAAGGATTGGTTTTTTCCTACCCCATTCTATAACATGACCTAGGGGATTATTTTGACGCCACCCTTTATAAATAAATAAGCCCTAGCTCATTTGACAGAGTAATGTACTTCTTCAGTTTCTCTGCTTTGACTGTTACTTACCTTGGCATATTGTTCCAACTTCAGATAAGGTTACTTCTTCATTTTCATTATTACTTATCCTAATAATTTTTTTCAAGTGTTGGTCTATACCTCTGCTCTTTTACTTTCCTGTACTTATCCAGAATGGTTTCTGATATTTTTATTTTTCAGTCCAAACATATGATAATAAGGCATCAATTAGGGCATTGTATTTATTTGGTTTTGAAAATTGTGTGTACTTGGGTCATGTCATCTATAAATTCCATTTTGGAATGGAAGGGAAGGTATTAAATACATGTGATTGCAAAGGGGAGAGTGTGTCTGATAGGACTGAGACCTACTATTCTGTCATGCAAAAAAAACATGCTTGCCTTTTATTGCTGTGTGTTCTTTCCTATAGTGTCCTGTTGTTAGCAGCCTGGATATCTAATCACATACAGCAAAAGAACAGGTTTTCTGTCTAGGCACTGTCATATGTCTTCTTGTTTCAAAGGATGCTTTTCATTCTTGTCTTTCATTCCTCATTTTCTTCTAGATATACCTTTTATTTTTCTTCAACTTTGCATCAGGAGGTATACTTTATCTTGTAATATTCACACTACTGAGGTTTTAGCAGTGTTTTCTTTTGAAAAATATTTTAAGATTTGCAATATGATGAGTTTTTTTTCCCTCTTGCCAGTTACCAACAAATTTTGCAGCTTGGTTTTTTAATTCAGTTCCCCTGCCCTCCCCCAAAAACTTAGTACAATAATAGTTTCTGAGCACAGTTTTGTCATGTGTGTTTTAGATAAGCTAAGTCCTGTCAAGTTCCTGTCAAATTCTGGCCTTTGTTTTTTCCTCCTAAGTAGTGTACAGTGAAACAAAGTGATAGAAAAGCAGCAGCATAGAAATAAAACCTAGGTTCTTGATTCTGGCCATTGTTTACTACTTGGGCAAGTTGTGTAGCCTCTTTGAACCTTGGTGGTTTTGTTGTTGTTGTTTTTTAATTTTGTTTTTTGAAGTTGGCTCTCACTCTGTTGCCAGTACACACTGCTGAGTGCAGTGGTACAATCACTGCTCACTGCAGGCTCAAACTGCTGGGCTCAAGCCTCAGCCTCTCGAGTAGCTGGGACTAAGGGTGTACACTACCACACCCAGCTGATTTTTGGGGGAGGGGGGAAGATGAGGTCTTACTCTGTTACCTAGGCTGGTCTCAAACTCCTGGGCTCAAGCGATTCTCCTGCCTCAGCCTCCCAAAGTGCTAGGATTACAGGTGTGAGCCACCACTCCCAGCGTTGGTTTTCTCATTTTCATTTAGAGATATCTGCCCTGCTTATCTGCTAGGATAGTTGTTAGGATCAAACAATATAATGACTGCTAGAGAAATGTTGGAAACATTTTAAAAGGTCCTACAACAGCTGTTAGGTCTTATCTAGAAAAGCTTTAGTCATTAAATCAATCTTGTAGATAGCTTCAAATTATTTTTTTGCCACCACCACCAGGGTCAAGCACTGCTATATAAAAAATGAGTTGGAGGGCGCTTATAAGGCCAATTAGATAGCCATTAAAATGAAATGATAATCTCACTCAAGGCACTGGAAATAAAAATGGGGAAACAGATCCCAGAAGCAACAGCAGGACTTGGAAACCAGTTGGACTTGGGCGGGGGGGAGGGAAGGACATTGAACCTGAGAACTGGGAGGCTGGTTATTAAGAGACATAGTAGGTGTGAAGGAAGGAAAAGGTGTGCTTCCCACTGAGACAGGCCATGTTTGAGCTGCTGCTGCAACTCCAAGTTGGAGGTGTCCAGACGCAGTTTGGAATGTGGATCTGGAGCTCAAAGAGACAGGGTTAGAATTGGACCAGGGAACACCTCTGCAATGAGATCATTGAATGAGGCAACATGGGGACTGAGGGTGGAGCTTTGTAGGATGAATGTCTGCATTGAAGGACCTTAGAGACAATAGAGGCTCTTCTGACTTGTGTTCTCGAGTCCCTGGCAGCTCTGTTCTCTAGTGCAGAGGACATGGGAGATGTTGTATATCATGGCTCTTACAAGTTTGTGCATTATAAAATAGGTCCCTGACCTCTGATAAATCACTGAGTGAAAATTAAATCTTCCTTAGGAAATCTTCCAAAGATACACAAACTATGAACAAACAAAAAAACTGAGCAAGAATTTACATTTTGTTAAATAGCCTATAGCCAAGTTTAAAAATGAAATGTTTGTTTTTTCAGATTTAATACTACTAGCAGGCACTGTTCTATTCTTATGGAAAGACTACTTTATATGAAATAAAACTTTAATACTATTTATCTTACTAATTCTCTTCTTTTCCCCCCTTTTTTCCTTTAGATTTTACATTGTGCTATAGGTAAGTATGGATTTTCCCCCCTCCTACATACAGTGGATTCTGCTTTTTAAGTCATAGATGATAGGCTTGATTTGATTCCTACTGAATTTTGAAAAACCATTTAATCATTACATATAAAATTCCTCAAATTGAAATAACTTTTGGCCTCTGAAATCATGCATACTATTTAGATGTTATCACTGAACACTTTATTAAATGTCGGTTGAAAAAGAGATGTGTTCCACCTTCTTGGTTAAAGGGTAATAGAGAAACACTAGCACATTTATAAAAATGTGGCTGGAGTCCTGGTGCTGGACTGTGTTGAAAAGCCCTGTCTATGATCACTTAAGTGGTATATTCTCTCTCCTGACCTTTAAAATGGGAGGACTACATGTATTGCCTACCTCCCAGATGAGTAGTACGTGTATGTGAGAGGTATTGGAAAAGTAATTAAGTGTAAAGGATTCTACAAACATAGGGAACTTCTACTGAAGTCAGATATGTGTGGTTTTTAACTTTAGTGAGGAGGGGAGAGAAATCAGATTTGCTTTGAAATTGAGGCATAGCTTAGTCTGGAATGGCTAAAACCCTCTAATTACATAAAAATCAATTTTGAAAAGTTAAAGACCCCCCCCTTTCCCCCCCAGAGCAAGCCCATAATGGTTGCTGTGTAGTCCAGATTTGTCTCTTGAGAACTACAAATCTACATTTTGGTCCTGATCAATTTAAGTCCCAGCTAAAGCTGGTGCTTACTGTATCCAGGGCACTGGACTTGGCACCAGGGAATTCAAAGATGAGGAGACTTATAGTTCAGAAGGACCCATGGGTGGAAGCACAGCACACTGTCCACTGTGGGTCTTGCAGAGGTCACTGTGATACTTGGCTCCATGCCTTTTAAAGAAGACAAAGCATCTTCACTATGAAGAGTTGCTCCTCCACTATCTTCCTTTCTTACCTGGGGTCGTGGATGGAGTTCAGGGACCCCTCAAATGATTTGCAGAATTTTGCATACATGTTTCTCTGTTTATTTGGGGGGTGGGGGAGAATTCATAGTTTTCATTAGATTCTCAGAAGAGTTTGTGATCCCCAAAGGCTAAGATATGCTGCCTTAGAAACTTTGAACTATAGATTTGAAAGGGCTTGGGGATGCATCTGTCATGGGATCTGCTTTCCCAGGGAGGGTTCAGTGACCTGGCCTAGGCCCCACAGCTGGCACATGGCAGAGCCTCATTTGGAGCCAGGCCAGTTTGACTCCAACTCCAGGGCTTTGCCGGCTTGACCTCATTTTATGATGAGTGGGTTTTAACTTATGTGCAGTCTTACACACCTTTCCTTTTTAGTCCTTTATTTGCAGTTTTGAAATGAAAATTTTGATCCCTTCTTAAATGATTAAATTTTAAGCATTAGCCAGAGTGAGTTCTGGAACCACTCAGGGCTTCTTCACATGACTGAACCCTGTCTCATTCCCGTTCAGGTGCCTTTATAAGACTCTTAAGATGCATGTTTTCCAGGTATCTTAGTTTGTTCAGACTGCTATAACACAATACCATAAACTGGCAACTTATAAACAATTAATGTGTTTCTCACAGTTCTGGAAGTTGAAATTCCAAGATCAAGAAGCGGCAGACTTGGTGTCTGTTGAAGGTCTATTCCTCATAGTTGGTACCTTCTCATTGTCTTCACATGGTAGAAGGGCAAGCATGCTCCCTCGGGTCTCCTCTATGAGGGCACTGATCACATTCATGAGAATCCTCATGACCTAATTACCTGCTGAAGACCCTGCTGCCACTTAATACTGTGGCATTGCGGATTAGGCTTCAGCATATGAATTTTAGGGGGACACAAACATTCAGACTATAGCACTGAGCATGTATAATGTTATTTTAATTCATATTTAATTGTGCTTAGTACTCCAAATCCCTTTATCTGTCCCAGAAGATCATTTTATAACTCTTTATAAAATTTCTACCCCTGGAAATAAAGTTTTTGACAAGTTTTTTTTTTTATTTATACCCCCAAATTATTGAATGTCCCTCAGACTTGGGTACCAGACACTGTGTTGGATGGTGGGAGCAGAGAGATGAGCAGGTTCAGACTGCGGTTCAAGAAACCCACAGTTGAAGGGGCACCCTCCAAGCTCCTCTGGCATAATGCGACCTGAGTTCTGGTGTTCACAGCACACTCTGCTCTGAGGGTCTGTTGGCAGGTATGCTTCCCCATCAGATCCTGAGCTCCTCAAGGGCAGATTCTGTTCGATTAATCTCTGCATCGCCATGGTCTGACATCTGCCTGGCACACCGCACGCAGATCCTTACAAAACCCTTCTTATTTCCTCAAGGACTTTGTTTCATCAGCGATTTTCTCTGTTTTGCATCATCACGCTTTGCTGTCTACCTTTTCCTTCTCAGTTCACAAAATGTTCAGAGCACTCCATCTTAAAAATAATGTTTAACTTAACTTTGGCCCTGCATTCTGCTCTTGTTACTAGTAACTCCTCTCCATCCCTTTCACAAGATTTATGGTAAGCTTTTCCACTTCCCAATGCCCATTAATACCTTGAAGTTGGGCTTTTATCCCCCTTGCCCTACGAAAGTTACTCCCTGGTTTAACGTCAGCATAGTTCTGCTGAATTCCAAGAACACATTTGGAATTTGCTGGACTTCTCAGCTATGTCGGGCACCACTGATGACTCCCTTCTTGAGCTCCTGTCCCTTTAGCTTTCATTGGACTGAGCCCTCCTGGTTTTTCTTGTCCTCGGTATCTCTTTGCTCTCTTCTTTGGGTGCTTCTCAAACCCCTGGGCTAAGCAGTCCTCTCTCCTCGACCTCTCAAAGTGTTGGGATTATAGGCATGAGGATTACTGTGCCTAGCCAGAAACTTAGTTTAGAGCCTTGAGATATCTTGAGTTTACCTACTGTTGATGAAAAGTATAGACTTCAGTCAGACGGGTTACTTGCTAGCTGTGTGACTTCTAGGAAGTAACTCAACTTTTGTGCACCGTCATTTCTTATCAATAAAAGGGGGATAATAATACCTCATACGGTTATTGTGAAAATTAAATGAAACAGTGTATACAAACACTTAGTGTGATGTCTGAAACATGGTTATGTTGAAAATTGCCCAATAAAGTAGTAGCTGTTGTTGTTACTGTTATTTGTGTTGAGGTCTCACTCTATCACCCAGGATGGAGTTCAGTGGCATGATCATGATCACGGCTCACGGCAGCCTCGACCTCCTGGACTCAGGTGATTCTTCCACCTCAGCATCCTAAGTAGCTGGGACTACAGGTGCACGCCACCATACCCGGCTAATTTTATTATTGTTGTTGTTGTTATTAGTAGTAGTAGTAGTAGAGATGAGGTTTTACTGTGTTGCCCAGGCTAGTCTCGAACTCCTGGGCTCAAGCTATCCTCCTGCCTCAGCCTTCTAGAGTGCTAGGATTACAGGCGTGAGTCACCATGCCTGCCTGTATTATTAACTAAAGCAATATAGTGTTGTAGAATGTTAAAGGCTTTATTGTAATGTAATGTTCAAAATTTAGATCTACATAAATGTAACTCTTTCATAGTCTTAATTTTCTTAAATTATAATTTATTTGTAAGTGAGCACTTCAGGGTCATTCCTTCTTAGTGTGGGTTGGAGTTGCAGCTGTCATGGTTGTGACAGAGCAACTTGGCAAAAATGGCTCTGGAAACAATAAACTGAAATTCCATATGAGGGGCTCATTTCTGCAAGGAAGTGGAGCCTTTTGTCCTTGTAAATGAGTTTCCGTGCCTCAACTTTTCCAAAGTAGGTTGTTCTGTATTCAATAATGGAGGGAGAGAATTTCTCAAATGCCATGGTTGTAGCCCTAAACCTAAGATCTGTAGTACTTTTCTGTTTACTCACTATTTTTCCTTTTAGAAATGTGAATTAAAAAAAAATATCAAAACCCACTCTGAGATATGTTTTCACAAGACTGCAAAGAAGATTTATGGTATCTTTTTCTAGGAGGTACGATTTGTATTGAAAGTAGTAGTCTTGTCTCTTCTCTGTGTTGTCTCCAAGATGAGATTGTGAAAGAGTCTCATGGGATATGGCGAGGTCTCAGCAAACTCTGCAGTGTGGTTCCTTCTCTTTTTAGGGTGGAAACTAGTGGGAGAGGAATTGGAGCTGAAGATACTATTGATAAGATGTGACGTTGTACATTTAGTGAACTTCATGTTGGAAATTATGCTGCCAGTGTAAATAACTTCAGAAGTTGTCTTTGGGTTGAAAACTGTGGAGCAAATAGGAGCTCAGTCATAGCCCAGAGTATATTAGGTCTAAGTTGATTTCAACAGACCTTTCACTTAGATATCCTGGATTTGCAGTTTCAGATATTTGCTGTGTTTGCCAGCTTGTAGTCCACTCTCACACTGATGACACTTTTATCAAAATTATTAAGTGAATTCCGAAAAAGTCACAACCACCTTAATATCAGTTGGCAGTGTATGACTCCAGACTGGTTTTATCAGGTAACAAATGGTGCCAGTGAAGTAGGGTCGCTGCTGGGAACACCCTTGTTTCCTCCGACCAAAATTATTTTCCCTCCCACTAATTAAAACTAACTAGATCCTCTCTTGAACTGCAATCCCCTCTCCTCTGGCTCCCCACTTTGTAAGGGCTAAGCTTTTGTTAGTCACTTCTAATACAGTATTGTAAAGAAACTTCCATCGCTTATTTCTGAAACCAGCTGTAGAAACTTCCAAATTTTAGCAAAAGAGAACCCTGAAAGGAGAGCACATGGGAGGGAAGGGGTTAATGCCTCCACATTTCTCTCACCTGGAATCCAACTTTCACAGCTGTACTGGGCCTTCAGTGGTATGGCTGGGCTCCAAAAATTGCTTTCTTTGGTTCCAGTTAGCTTAGTTGATATTTCAAAAATGAACTTTACCACATTGTAAGGAAGAAAAAAAGGAATAATTATCTAAAATAGAAATGTTACAGTATAAAATTCATCATATTCCCAAAGAACAAGTTTCTGATCTTAAGACCTGACTC